TTTGATTTCTGTATGATATACTTGTGGTTTCTTAGTGACTCTTTTATATAATAGAAGTTATAGAAATATGTGGATAGTTATTTAAATGTTAATTTTATTAAACTGCAGTTCATGATTTGGTTACTTCGAAGCTATCAGGCCGGTCGTGACAACTAACATATGAGATCTTTTGAGGGGCTGCCAGTAGTAGAATGTCGGAAAAGTCAGGGAGGTAGAAAATAGGTGTTAGCGGGATGTTGGACTAAGAAACTGCTGAGAAAGGAAACTCATGACTCTTGTTCTTAGAGCTTTGATACCTTGAAAGGAGGAGAAATGATTTGAATTTTGTTTGGATTTTATTGGGAATTTGCTCCTCGATTTGTATAGCAGGATTTTGAATTATAATTGATAATATCTACCTATTTCAACTTTTAGTTTATTGGGAATAAAGGAAAATATTCTATGGCTTACACATCTATTTCTGTAAAAGTTTGAGAGCATTTTTCGCTCTGAGGCCCACGATTTTCCTTTCAAAGATGGTAACATAGGCGCCCAGCTTTCCAATCTCACAAATTGTTAAGCTAGCCGCTAGAACCATCCATAGATATATATGCTTGTGTGCAAATTAATGCTAGAGTTTGCACATGATATTTGGTCTGACTTAAGTGCTAGTTTTTACATTACTGGCGGCCTACTATGAATCAAATTACTGAATCTGAAAAGGGCATTTGTTTGAACACTTTTTCCCTGACATTATTTGCATCTTAGAAAGCATTATGCACATAATCGAATACCATCCTAATATAGTCAAGGAGGGCTTGTGTTAATACTTTTCTTTTTTTTTTCAAGGGAATGTTAAATGGATCTTCATGTTGAAGTATAGTTCATCTAGGCCTAAAATTTTCCTATTTTGTTAGCTTATTTCTTTATATTTTGGGCTATAATTATTTGGGCTCTTTGAAGGGCTTAGATTTAGTGAAGTCTGCATTTTGAAACTGTCATTAATTGTTTGGGTCCATCAATGCATATTTCCTTGCAATTCTAATTTATTCATTATTCTATTATTAATTCTTTAATTAGTTTCTTCTTTCACTTATTTATGCTTCAATTTTTTGAAGTTTAAGGATGATGTTGACTTCTTGTATTTGCTGGCCGATGCTGCAGCTATTGCGGTATGGTTTTTCTCTCACATATCAAACCACTGCAATCCCTGTACTGACCAAATACTTTTGCCTGTGAACTTCTCAGTTCCAGTATGGCAATCCGGATGTGCTATGCTCTCCTCTGCTTGAAGCAAAGAAGTCAAAAGAGAACTTGGTGGTAAGTTTTGGCTTTTATTAATGACTATTTTCAGCATTTTCATATTTAGATGAGTTGTAATATTTACTGTTATCAGTGTTAATAGTTGGCAGCATTATTTTCCCTTGAAGAAGCATGGAATGATCTTAAACTATAATGATGATAAGTGTTGATTTTTTGGAAAATAAAACTCTCTAATTTCTCATTAAGAAAATAAATAATATATATACAACTGAGATTAATCCTTTTACAATTAGAGGCAAATTCAAATTCTCATGATAAAAGGAAAGAAATAAAATGCCATAATGGATAATTAAGGGAGAAAATTTTCTCCCTTAAATGTAGTAGCAGACTCACGATTTCCTAAATAGTATACATATCAACACTCCCTCAAATTGGGTTTTATATGTCATACATCTCAAATTTGCTGTTGAGATCACTAATTTGATGTCGATGAAGAACCTTGTTAAAAATGTCAGCAATCTAATACTAAGTCGGGATATAGCATGGCCGAACAAGTCTCCATTTACTTTCTCAGAGATGAAGTGTGTCAATCTCTACATGTTTGATTTGATCATGGTCTATAAGATTCTTTGAAATACTGATGATTGGTTGACGATCACTGAACATCTTAATAATGCTTTGGCTCTCCATGTGAAGTTCCATCAATAGTTTTTCTAGCGACATTCCCTTAAAAATTTCTAGGGAGAGGACACGAGATCTTCTAACATTCAGTTCTTCTGCCAAGCTAGCATTAGTGTAGATTTCAATGTCGTTGTTCTTAGTTCTCTTCACTATCAATCCACTTCATGTAATTATCTTTTGGTGCCTCAAGATTCAAATGATCGCTTCTAAATGATCATCATTTAGATTGTTCATATATTAGCTTACTACACCCACAAAAATGTAATATCAGGTCTTTTATGTGACAAATAAATAAGTTTCATCACAAGTCTTTGAAACTTTCCTTTTTCAACTGGTGGTTATCATATACTTTTGATACTCGTCAATTAAGATTCATAGGAGTATCTTTTAGTTTACATCCCAGTATTTGTGTCTCCTTTAATAAGTCAAAGATATATTTTCTCTGGGGTATGAAAATTTTTCATTTGGATCTAGCTACTTCCATTCCCAAGAAGTATTTTAAAGTTCCAAGATCTTTAATCTCAACTTAGAAGTCATTATTCTTTTGATTGTTTCAAGTTCCCTTACGTCATTACCTGTAAGTATAATATCATCTACGTGTAAAATAAGGATAACTATCATACCTTCTTAATTTGAATTTACAAATAACGTTTGATCAGCTTGACACTGATAGTATCCATCAGCAAGAATAGTCGTGGTGAACCATTCAAACCATGCTTGAGGAAATTATTTCAAACCATATAATATTTCTTTTACTTTGCTATAATCTGATTATTTGTGTTCTTTAATTCTGAAGATCTTTACATATTCTTCCTTAAGATCGTCATTAAGAAATACATTTTAATGTCTAGCGGACGTAAAGGTCAGTTCTGGTTGACAACCAATGCCAATAGTACTTTTACTTTGTTGAGCTTCATCACTGGTGCATTTGTCTTCAAGTCAGCCGATTTGAAAGTTGGTTGCTAACTTCACTTCATTCAAGATAAGAACTGATAGCATAGCTACTGCATTTGGATTAGGTTCATAGGAGTAAGGGCATTAGCCTTTTCGTCAATCATGACTCGAAAGAAAATAGCTAGGCTTGAGGCTTCCATTCTATAAGAGCCCTTTTGATACAAATCTAGCATTAAACTTTTTTATGTACTCATTTGCTTTGTATTTAAGAGTGAATACTCATTTGCAACCTACAGTTTTTTTCTCAGGTGGCGGAGTAGTTATAATCCAGGTACCATTCTTTTCAATGGCAAGAATCTCTTATTCCATAGCCTTTTGCCAAGTAAGAATAATTTTAGCTTCTTGGATTGAATTTGGGACCTGCAAATTATCCAAGTTCTAACAAATTATTTGTAAGAGGATGATAATTTTTCGTAGGTCACAAATCCTTCTATCGGATTTGTTGTGCATACTTGTGCTTCCTTTTCCTCTTTAGTATTCATGTTGTATTGACCCAAACTCTCTATGTGAATACGTAGGGTGTGTGAAGTTCTTCCAGTTATTTGCATTCCTGATTTTTCATATTGTCTCTTACATGCTCACTACATTTTTTCAAAAAATATGACATCCATGGATGTTAGTTCGGTGAAGTTGATACCCCAAATCTGGTATTCTCTCCAACTCTCTTTATGAATGTTAGATTTAGGGTGATATGGAGAGTTTTCAAAAGATGTGACATCCATAGAGTTGTAACTTTTTTGTGTTTATAGAGTAGCATTCATACCCCTTTTTATTTAAAGAGCTGCCCGCATAGGCATTTAATTGACTTGAGATCAACTTTGGTTTGATGTAATGGTTGATGTAGATGAACAACACAAAAGAGACGCAACCAAAACTTTTTAGTGGTAGGTTAGAGGTGAAAATTTAAATATGGGGCTAGGATTGTATGAGAGTGTTGAGAGGTTTTAATGTTTAGCACTTTACTGGGCATCTTATTTTTTAGATAAGTCAATGTGAGAATTACGCCTCCACGAAAGTGTTTGGGTATATTATTAGTGAATAGAATTGAACATACCACTTCGAGGAGATGTCTGTTCTTTATCTAAGTCACACCATTTTGTTAGGGTGTGTCAACACAAGAGCATATATGAATGATATTATTTTTAGATGGATAAGAGCATAGTGGAGTTAGTGTTCTGCATTATTGGTTTTGAGAATTTGAATTTTGCTCTAAAATTATGTGTGGATCATATAGTGAAATGTTTTAAATATGTTGGCAGTTTTAGATTTTTCTTTCATCAGAAATGTCTGAGTGGTTCTGGTGCGATCATCAAAGAAGGTGACAAACCATCTAGCCTCATTTGTATATTTTATTTTGAGGGCCCCTAGATATCATTATGAACTATGAAGAAGAAATGTGTTGGTTTATGGGTACACTTATCGATTAGGTTTAGTAAGTTAGCAAATTTCACATTAATAAGAACTAGACATTTTATTAATAAATAAATGGGGATGCAATTTTTCACTATAATAAAAATTAGGATGTCTAAGATGAAAATATCATAACATAACTTGACTCTCATAAGAAACAGACTCGGATACAAGACTTTATTCCAATGATTGTGAATGACAGGAAGTTATTTTGAAGTGGGAGTCGTAGTGACTAGATGAAGTTCATGATACATGTCAGTATTATTAATCACCTTTTCAGAGTCCACTACTTAAAATTCACACAAATTATGGTAGAATTTAGTGACAAAGTTCATGTCATGAGTAAATTATTGATAGAAAATAAATTGCAGTTAAGTTTAGGAACATAAAACACAGATAGAAGAAGAATATTTTTTGTACGTTTTACACTAATTCATTAAAAAATAAGAGAGTCATTTGCGGTTCTAACTGCAACATGGTGTTTACTAGTATAGAATGATTGGAAAGCAGTGATATCACTTGTCATGTGATTAGATGCTACAGGGTTCACTATCTAAGGTTGTTTCTTTTATGTTGAGAGCAATAAGTGAAGATGTAAGACTACCTTGATGTGCTAGAAGGTTAGTAGAATGCTCGAAATATTGCACCAGAAGTCTTTAGAGAGCATCAAGTTATTCTTTATTGAAATGACTGTGAGCATGAGACTTGTCTTCTTTTGATGCTATGTTAGCTTAATTTTCTTGATCACCTTTGAATTTGTTGGACTTCCAATCTGCAGGCTTTCCATAGATTTTCCATCATTTCTCCTTCAGATGACTAAGCTTCTTGCAATATTCACACCACTATTTATTTCTCTTTGATTTGTTATTCTGAGATGATTTATTAGTCTACAAAGACAAGTTATCAACATTTGATGCAGTGGGATCACTTGTCATCATGAGTTTCTTTTTTCCCTTTTTCCTTAGTGATTCAATAAAGGCTTCATAAATTGAGGGAAGAGATTTAGTTCTCATGATTCTTCTTCTAACTTCATCTTTTTCCTTGTTGAATCCTAGAAGGAACTTGATGGTTCTCTTCTATTCAAAAATTATTTCGTAAAGAGCAGAGTCTTGTGAGCACCTCGATGTGTATGTTTCAAATAGATCTAGTTGGAGATAAAATTTGGTTAGAGTGTTGAATTATTGAGTAACATTCAATTCACCCTGTCACAGTTTATATACACTAGTTTCAATGTCAAACAACTCAGATATATTGTCAACCTTTGAATAGGTTTTTATTTGTGGCACCTCAAATTTCTTTGATGTTTTGTATAGGAGGATGTTTTTTCCAATTTTCATGGTTATGGGAGTTGACAAGCTATGATATGACTGTGATCTTCAATTTTCCATGTGCGATGTTTAGGAACCTTATTTTGCTTGTGCAAGATCTTTTTTAGTGAGATTATCATCTTTTTCTTTACCACAGATGTACATGAGCACAGATTGAGACCATTGGATAAAATTTTTGCCATTTAGTTTGTGATTGGTGATGCAAGAAGAGATTTGAAATGCTGTAGAAGCAAACATCCTTGGTTCAGGTTTAGAAGTAACATTTAAAGATGAAGTAGCTTTCATGTCATATTTGTTCTTCATGATGATATGGGGAGAAACAATCTATAGGCGGACAAAATTTCCACAAGAGAAATTGTCTGTCACCTCCACCAGATCTCCCACCAGATCAAGAAATTGTTTGTCTTTGACACATGATTTTGTTACGTCAGGGTTTATCCTATGGGCAATTTTGTCTTTGGTAGCCTAAGGGCTATTTAGTCTTTTTTTATTACTTAATATTTGGTATAAAGAGGGCTTAATACTTTAGCATTAGGGTTATGCAAGAGATTGTGTCTTGAGTCTTAGGGGTAGTGTTTGGGAGTGATTTTCTACATCTCGAATTGTAGGATTTGGGAAGGGTCGCTTATCTCTCGAATTGTAGGTGTTTATCCTTTATGTGTAGTGTTGTTTGCGTTATTGAAG